ACTGTAGTGAGGATTCAATGTGACAGTGCATGTAAAACAGCACAGAGTAACCTTTCCTCAAATGTTAGAAAATATTAGGAGCACTGAAAAGGGTCATTTTTACCTTGTTTTAGAAATGGAAGCGGGAGTGGGGAGCTGGAGGGTAGAAATCCCCGCGCCCTCCAGGAGTTGGCTCTCATCTTCTCCTTCCAGAAGCCTATCCCAGGAGGCAATGTCTTTTCCCCATTCTCACTCCTGTGTCCCATTGCTGTGTACTATGACTCTGACAACAGCAGGCTCCCTACTGTCTTCCCAATGCCAAAGTGTTTAACTTCGACACAGATGGCCCAACATGCTGGCCCAGTACTTGGTTCGCTATAGGTTGTGGCCCATTAATTAGGTCATGAAATTAATTTAGTGTGTCAAGACAAGACAGAAGTAGAATGGAATAGAGTAAAAAAGAAGTATGCAGCACAATACATTATATGAGTATTTTTCAGATGAAACTATCAATATATATGTATTGCATTATAAAGCATATTTCCATAGGTGGTGGTATAAAGTATATTTCTTTCAGTGGCTCACTGACAGAAGAGTCCTACATTCTTGCCTCCAGCTCTACTTCTGCTTTGGATGCCTGGTTCCTTGATGTCCTCTGCTATGAGGACGTTCTTTCACTTGCTCTCCACTTTAGTGACCATTCCTCCAAACGATTCTTAAATCTGGCCACCACACAGAATAGATCCATCTTCAAAACATGGAACTTCCATTGCATAACCAATAGTCTGAAATTTCTCCTTCTACTATTGATTATTTATTTAAACACATTTCTTGAATCCAGACTTTCTTCTCTCTATTCCAGCTAAGATTGCTTTCGCTCAATTTTAAGTCCCCAGATGGTCTCTTTGTTGCCCTTTGGAATCACTCACTTCAAATCCCAAACTACCCATGGTAGTCTTAAAGTGTGATCAGGTTTTTCTTTGCCTAAAACCGTGAGGCCTGTCTCAACTTTACCCAATTCAGATTTTGTTTTTAGATATAGAATGCCTTCAAATAAATTTTTCGCTTCCTTATCTCTCCCATGCTTCCAAATATAGAAAGGTCATAGCTTCTTGTCATGATTGTGACCTTATGCTGGAGATCTACTCCATCCACTTCCCTTGATGAGGCAGTATCCCTGCAGGCACTTCACACCCTTCTCATGGTCAGTTAGTCATGGAAAGGGCTTTGATACAAGGGCAGAGCAGAGGGACTGGCCTGCCCTCTTTGACAGGCTGTCTAGAGTTCTAGAAAACTGAAGGGCTTTTCCCAGGATGTTATGGGAGGTACATATGAAAGGTTCTTAAATTAGAAGCCGAAGAAACCAGAGGACGGAAAGGAGAACCCAGCAGTGACCACCATGTGGACATCCCCTGAGAGTGACAAAAGTAGCTGCTTCAGTCCTGTGGCCGCTTTCCAGTTCCTGGGTCCCCTTGGAGATCCTGGGATGGGAATGACCAGCCTCACACTTGCCTGAGAGACTCTTAATGGCCTCTTTCCTTGAACCTAAAAGAGCCAAGATAGGAAATTCCAATTCACTGAAATTTTACTGTAGCTAACAAAGGATTTTGTGCTTTTCACATAAAAAATGTGTTGACAGGAATGATCTATCTCTTTTTTCCTATACAGCAGCTACCTGCTTATCCTTTAGAAAAACACCCTTTTGTGGTTCCAGCTTGCCAGGCCAGTCCCTTCTCTGCATCCCTTCAGCTCTTTGCTCATTTGTTGTTAATGTAACACCTACCCTTCTGTTTTGTAATTTGTTTATGTTTCTGAATCTCTTGCTGGGCCCTCGGCTTCTTGGGGACAGTGCCACAGCTTATTTATGTTCTCATCTCCACAGTGCAGGGGCGTGGGACAGATTCTGTTGTTCTGTACTCACAGCTGACCTGAGGCTCACCCACCTCCTTGTACCTGCGCTCTGACTCCCTTTCTCCGTGTCTGCCTGAGGGTGTTTCAGGCAGGCTAGAAGCGCCTACGGATTAATGTTCCAGGAGTGACCCTCCATGAGTGCGAGGGGGCCGCTGGTGGATAGACACCTAGGCCGGCTGACTGTCATGGGGTTCACTGAGATCTACGCAGGGCCTCAGAGGGTCCTTTGTGAATTTGGGCCCCATTGCCAGTACAGTAGTGGCTTTCTTCCCTTCCCTGCTTCACTTCCTCACTCCCTGACCATGCTTTCTAGAATCATCTCTAAAATAAACTCTTTGCACCCCCAATACATGTATATCTCAGGGATTGCTTTTGGAGACCAAACCAAGACAGTGAAATAAAGCACTCACTCAGATAGAGAGTGAGTGAGCAGCCGAGGCCCTCAGTCCCTCATGCCTCTTCCCACTGGTATAGGATGTAAGAGGATCCCTCTTCCTATCCTCTGTTACTTTCTTCCCTTTACAGACCAGCCCACAGAGTCCAAGCAAGCACATGCACCCTCAATTTCCTCGGCCACTGCTTATTCAGGAGAGGTTGGAGGAAACTCTCCTACCATGTTGATTGGGGCCACTTCACTTGTATGATTTTCAGCCCACCAGGTGGCTTTGAAATGTTTTTACTTGTGCCCCATTCATTTCCTCTTGCAGTGATGCTGCTACTCTTTGCTAGGATGCTCTCTGCCCTTCTTCTTTCTACCCTACTGCCCTCCCAGTATCTGGCATACATAAGTGGGTATGTGTGCCAGATTGTAAACAAGTGTTAACTCATTTTAACACTTGATAGCAGGGTGGCTAAAATTCTGGATAAGGGAAAACAAGCTGCCCAAAGTCTCTTGGTACAGCTAATGGAGGCAGGAGACAGACTCCAGAAATACAAGCACAGTGGTCAGGGCAGTAAATAGTTGGGACATGGCTGATGATCTGTCAAAATGCTCTGGGCTGGCCAGAGGAAGAAAGCACTGTGGTGATACTCCAACAAAAGGACAACACTTAGGTAAATTCTATGATTAATTTCATCTTAGAAACAAGGAAACTGAGGTGCAGAGAGGCTAAGTAACTTGCTCAAGGTCACACAGTTGGTAAATGGTCTCACTGGCATTTGAACTCAGACAATCTGGCTTCAAAATTCATGAACTTAACTTCTTCTATATGATGCTGCATCTACTGATGTTTGAATACAGAATTTTTGATAAATGATTGGAAAGTCAGCACAATATAACCTATCACCTGCCTCCCATGGCTAGTATGATTATCACAAATAGCAAATCAAGCACTATCCCTAATACTTTTCAAATAATTGAGATCTGCTCTTATTGTATATCCATATTAGTGGATATGAAACTAAAATGAGTGTATTTTTTTCTCAGTAGCTTTGTGGATGCCAGTCCTGGCTAAAGATGAATCGATGCAGTACAGTGAACACATGGCAAACTGCAGCTCTCCAGAACACGGCTAATTACACGACAGCCATGCCCTCGGCTTCCACATCTGAAGAATGTGTGGATTGAGTAGACAATGTTTCACATCCTTTGGAGGATAAGATCTTCTTTTTCTATCTTTGTATAGATAAGGGAAACTTGATTTCAAGCATGTCTAGATTATACTTAAAACTCCGCAGATGTGGTGACTGGGTTCAGAGAGCACAGCTTTTGTGAGGATCAGCGCATACTCTGCTCTTTAGAACATCAGTAGCAGCATTTTCATAGATGTGGAATCTCTATGGCAACTGTTTGAACTCCTTCAGATTGGCAAAATTTACCTAGAGAGTGCAGGAAGTGGCAGCAGGTTCTAATTTCAGAGTGCCCTTGACTACTAAAAAGAAGGCACTCATTAGTAACTCTCTCAGGAGGGGATTTGGGGCTGCTACATATAGAAAGGATTAGCCCATCGGGGCTCAGAGGATCACCGGCACATACTCTGCGTGGCTCAGTTCCAGTTGCTGTCACGTGAGCCGTTGCCCTGTCCTGCTAGCTGGCAGGCAGGCAAACCCCACAGTTACAAAGCAGAGGAATGAACACTGCAGGGTAAAGTCTTGATGGGAATGCACCCACCCCCAGGGCGGCTGTGCACGCACAGAAACAAGTTCTACCAAACTCACGGAGGTAAGAGCATTTCTAGACGCTGCAGTACGAGTCGTGCTCAGTCTGTCCCTGATAAAACCTCTGAGCAGAGCTAGGAAGTGCAGTCCACAGACGGTCGTTTCAGAGGTACATACATAGTCTGCTCGGGATGTAAAAAGAACGCAGAGATTGACCTTGTTTTAGCCCCTCCTCTCTGAACTCATCCCCCAACAAGAGGGCCTGGAGGTTTCCAGGAGACTCCTGGTTTAACTCTCCCCACCCTCCTTTCCCTTCACACACAGCCTTGGCTCTGAGGTTCAGAGGCGGTCCCCGCAGGGCAGAACCCACTCCTCAGGTCTTCTTAGAGGTCCCTTACTGTAGCAGGTGCTCAATAAATGCTCTGTTGCTCGGTATGTGAACACGCGCGTTTTGGGGGTAACAGTCCTCAGTGGTCCCACTTTTCTGCTGAGAGCAACCGGAAAGCAAAGTGAGTAACCTGTGTCAGTTCACACAACCCCGGGGCCTTCACTCCTTCACCTCGTTGTGGAGGTGTTAGTAAAGTGACAAAGCGGAGAAGGTCCTGTGAGGGGCCGCTCCGCAGAGGCGGCGCCCATGCGCTCTGCTTTGGGAGGGGCCGAAGTGAGAAAGCTCTAAGTCAGCGTTATCCAAGAGCTGATCCTCCGCAACAACGCTCAGAAAGTTTACCTTTTGAAACTCCTCCTATCCCAGGCCGGTTCTGGGGGCCGGGGGCGCTGCCAGAGCCCAGTACAGGGGGTCCAGGTCCCGCCTCCCTGCGCCCTAGGCAGAGGCGGGATGCGCAGCCTTGGGAGCGGCTCGACCACCCGGAGAGAGGCGCCGGACCGGGATGCGGACCGCGGCCACCAGGCAAAGCGGCTGCCCTCGCTGCCCCAGTACTGACCCTGCCTTCCCTCCCTCGACCGCCCCTCCACTCCCTAGTGCCGATCTGGGCCCTGGCCCTGGGCACACTCACCCTGATATTCGAGGACCCTCTCGGGAGCGAGCGTCGTCGCCACGAGGTCTGCGCAGCCCCGCGGCGCCCCCAGGAGCAGCAACAGCAAAGGTAGCAGCAGGAGCATCGCTAACCACTGCTCTCCCCGGACGCGGTGTGCTGCCCGCGGGACCAGAGCCACCCCGGAAGAGCCCCGGCTTGCTCCTGGGGAGGCGGACCGCAGCCCTCGCCGCGCTGCCCCCGCGCTGCGGTGCGGGGACTCTCCCACCCTCGGTCACCACGGTGCGCACTCCTGGGACTCGGCTGGGAGACGGGAAGGTCGTAGCGTTTTCCCCGCCCTACCCACCCTGCCCTGGGTACGGAGGAGGAAGAGGGAGTGGACCATCTGCACTTCCCAGAAATTTCTGCCTTTGGGGTGGGGAGAGGAGGGGTGAGGCAGCGGGGTGCAAACTTCTGTGCTTCTTCGCTCCTTCGTGCTCTCGTTCTTTGGGGAAAGGCCAGCGAGGACCTAGGGGTGAACTGAGAGCCTCTGGGACAGGAAGTCTGACATCTGGGTTTGTAAACCCCGGGTTCTGGTAAACACTGCGGGTCTGGCCGCAGACAGTTCAGAGTGAAAGAAGCTGCTGGGTGAACCCAAGTGCTTTGGGAGGCTCTGAACTCCTCTGGAACGCGCATCACGAGAGACCCCTGGGGGCCCGCCCTGGCCTCCATCCTCCTGCACCAGAGTAACCCAGAAGTTCTTCCAGTCGAATTCTTGTTCTTCTTAAAATAACCTCCTGCTCCCAACCTCTTTGATTTTCCTTATCCAGCAAAATACTCCACCTCACAGCTGGGAAACCCTGCCCGGAAATGTGAAGTGATTTGCTCTAGGTTACTCCTTCACCCAACAAAAGTTACTCCCTAAACTGCTAAGAAGCAGGCAAACCCTGACGAGACTGTACTTTTAACTGCAGCCTTTCAAAGAAGCAGCAGAATACTAGAAGTATTTAATACTGATGAGAACAGGCTTAAAAGCTTTCCTAAACAGGACCTTGACATCAGCCATTAAAACATAAGAGGAGGGAAAAGCAAATGAAAACTTATAAAAAGGAAGAAAGGAAGGAAAGAAGAAAGAAAGGAAGAAAGGGAGATAGGTGGTGGGATCGTGGGTGACTGAGCTACTTACCTGTCAGTACTAAATCAGTGTTTTCAGGTAGCTGTGTTCCAGCCTCAGTAAATGTGCCCCAGAAAGCCCAGCCTCAGAGAGGATCTCTAAGAGAGAGCCTGCCTGAAAGTCAAAGTGAAACGCTGGGGGAAGGAAAGCAGTGCCTTGCTGCAGCCTTGCAGGAACCTCAGAGGCCCTTGACATGTCTGTCTGAGAACAAAGTGGAGAGCATTTGTCCATCGGACTCATGATCCCTGTTGGTTAAGATTTGGGCTTGTAACCTCCTGGGCACACTTCTATGCCTTGACAAAGGAGGCAGCAGGTGTATGGCCTAGCAAAAGGTAAGGCTTTGTCAGGTTGCCCTGGGCGTGTTTGAGGGGCAGAAGAGACAACTGAAAAAAATCCTGCTGTGCGACGGCTGGAGTAAGAAGTGGGCTGAGAGGCTGTGAGACGCTCGACGAGTGTACAGAATCTATAGCTGCTATTATTTGTGGAAATGAGCATCCCTGCCAGAGCACGTGCAGAAAGGCATGCTTCTAGCATACTGGAGCATGTAGATGTTAATCACAAACTATATATTCTTCTTCCTTGTGGCCTCAAACCTCACTGTGGGGATATCCCCATAGTGGAGTATTCAGCCCTCACCAGGTTGGCACCTTCAGAGGCAGGCAGGCAGGCACAACCCACACGGCATAATGCATAAGTAGAGTGTGACCCTGAGTCTAATCTCCATTGAGGGTGGGGGCAGTGAGAGTGGAGGGGAGACATACCAGAAGGAACTGGCGTGGCTGTGGAGGGTCAAATGTGTGAAGATAAAGTGGGGGTACTGGGAGGAAGAGGCTGTTTGTGGAAAGAAGAAGTGAGAAAAAACAAAGGTTAGAGAGGAAAGTGCTTGTATGGGAGAGAGACTGAGGAGGCATGACTGGCTGGAAGGAGGGGCAGCCACTGGGGCACCCTGGGAAATGAGGCCAGCCACTGGGATCTTGGGCTACCTCCTCCTGCTGTGGGACTTGGGGAAGACTTGCACTTGCTAAGGATCAGCTTTATCCTCTATAATGAGAGGGGTTTAAAAAAAAAAAGGTTTCCTGGATCCATGGCAGGTAATATTCTGAAGTAGCTGAGCTCTGACTATGAGTAGGATAAGGAGAGGGGAAACAGGTCGTATTTCATCTTCAGAGCAATTAGTGTAATGAAGAGAGGAAAGATAGCTTCCTGGCCTACCAGTACCACATTTCTTATTCTGCATTAGATGACTCAGAAAAGAGCTACTGTTTTTCATGTCTTTCTGAAGCATCACAGCTTTGAGGTGGAAATTTGAGGTAGAGAGCCTTTTAGCCTTTGAGAAGATGATCGTTATCCTCATCCTTGTCTTTTTTTGGTTTATGAGACCCTGTCGTAAAAGGGTTGAAAGAGACCGCAGCTCTGCTTACCAACACATTGCCTAGGCTCCCTTAGCCTTTGTCTCTTTCTGTATAAAATAAGGATAATATTTTTCACACACACACAGACACACACATAGATTCTACTCAGCCTTAGAGGAAACACTGCCATTTGCAATAACCTGTATAAAACTAAAGGACATTATGCTTTGTGAAATAAGCCACACACATAAAAGAAAAATACTGGGCAATCTCACTTGTATGTGCAATTACTTTATAAAGTGAACAAAGTAGAAAGGTGATTATCAGGTAGAAATAGAAAGAAGTAGGTCAAAAAGTACAAATCTGATTTGGGATGAGGTAAACAAGTTCAGAGATTTAATATACAGCATAAGGACTATGGTGAATATTGTATTATATGCTGAAAACTTGCTGTGAGAGTAGATGTTGAGACCTCTCACTACACTCATGTGTTGGAAGGTGACAGACATGTTCACTTGTGTGCCTTTGACTGGAATGATAATTTCACTATGTATATGTTTATCAAAATATTGTGTTGTGCACATAAATAAATACAATAAAAATAAATTTAAAACTTCCCAAAACATGCAACTACTGTATTAATTTTCCAGGGTTTCTATAACAAAGTGCCACAGTGTGGCTTCACCAACTGGAATTTATTCTCAGTTTTGTATGCCAGCAGTTCAAAATAAAAGTTGGTTCCTCCTTAAGGATTTGAGGGAGTTTCTGTCCCAGTGCTTCTACCAGCTTCTGGTGGTTGTTAGCTGTCTTTGGCATTACGTGACTTGTAGCTGCATCACTATAATTGCTGCCTCTGTCATCACATGGGCTTCTTTCTCATCTGTTTCTCTCTCTCTGTCTTTATTTGACCTTCTTATAAAGTGTTAGTCATTGAAATTAGGGCCTAAACCAGTATGATCCCATTTAGCTAATTACATCTACAAAGTTCTGTTCCAATAAAGTTATATTCTGAGGTTCCAGTGGGAATATTTTTTGAGGAATGCTATTCGATCCAATATGTCTCCCATATGATATAGCCACTCCTACCCATGTATTTACCCAAGAAAAATAAAAGCATACATACATACAAGATTTGTACATGAATGTTTATAGCAGCTTGATTTTAATCATCCATACAAAATTTGCACATGAATGCTCATAGCATTTTTCTTTGTTCTAGCTAAATGCTGGAAACAACCCAAATGTCCAACAAGAGGTGAATTAATAAATGGTGGTACATGCCATAGAGAAGCACTGACACAATAGCCCTGCCCAGAGACGTGCATGAACCATCCTGACATGGAGAAACCTCTGGGAAAACATGCCACACAGCGGGTCGCTTTTGGCCCTGCCCTTGAGAGCCAGAAAGGTCCGGAGTCAGCGGAGGAGCAGCTGCGGAACAAGGACTCAGAGAACACGAGAGTACCGACACCTGACAGCTCAGAGGTCGAGCTGACTGGGGGCGCGGGAGCCATTTGGGAACTGGAAACCAGGAGGACCTTGCACAATACCTGGGGAGACCCCCTAGAGGCCATTCTTCCGCTAACTGTACAGGTTGTGGTGGAGGAGCAAGTGGAGCTCCGGAGAGGTCTGCACCAAGACTTCACGGATTACATGGGTGCCCAATATTCAGATTTTGAAGAACCGCCTTCATGGAGAAGGTACGTGTCTAGGTTACCTGCCTGGGACAGTTTGTACCTGATAGTGCTGAGATTGACTCGTGGGCCTAGGACTTCATCCATGTGTTCCTGCCGCCTGTGTTGACGGTTGGGGAGAGGACACTCTACCGGTTGCGGCATCCCAATGCGCTGGGAGATTGGAGAGAACACCTCTCTGCTTTCTTAGACAAGAGGCATTCACAAAGCGTACTTCCCTGGATCCGAGGTCAGTAGAGGGACAAACTATTCTTAAAGATAAGTTGATTACTCAGTCAGCCCCAAATAGTAGAAAAACGCTACAAAAAATGGCTTTTGCCCCAGATAGCTCACTTGAGATGTTAGTAAGAATTGCCTTCTTAGTTTTTTATAACTGTGAGGAGGAGGAGGCCAAGGAGAGAAAACAGAGACTGAGAGAAAACAGCTGCTTTTGTTGCTGCACTAAGAGAAACAGACCCTAAGTCTGATTCAAGGGGCCTCAAGAAGAACTCATTGACTACATTCATCTGCTACTTCTGTCCAAAGCCAGGCCATCTCAAGAGGGACTGCCCTAAGAAGCCCCTTGGGCCATGCCCTGACTGTAAAGGTGACCACTAGAGGTCAGACTGCCCTCTGAAGTGAAGGCCCCAGAGCTCAGACCCCTGCTACCAGCTGGTCCAACAGGAATGAAGGGGCCCAGGGCATACTCTGCCTTCTCCCTCTGGCCAGACTGTTATCGTCAAGGAGGAGCACCATGTAATCATGACTATAGAGGAAAAAGTAAACAGCCTGTTGCTGGACACTGGTGCTAATTTCTCAGTCCTTCTTTTCAGTCCTGGCCTTCCTTCCAGCCATCACACCTAAGTGAAAAGAGTCACTGATGAGGAGGTAATCTGCTATTTTTCACAACTATTGGGCTGTAACTACTAGTTAGATCTTTCTTGAATATCTTTGTTTTCCTGAGAAACCACTTTAAAGATAGCAATATGTATTACAGCAGCCATTGATAATTTCTTACCAATCTGTTCATAACTCTGTAATGTTTTTATTGTTCCTGTGCTATTTTGTAAATGGATGTATGTTTACTACTATGTGTTTTCAACAACAACCACTGAGAATAGTCAATGATTATTT